TTAGCTTTGAGACATTCGTGGATGCTTTTGGTGAGCCATGGGGGCTTTTGAGCACTCTTGCCCCCTTTGATCCATGTTGGGCTTGCTACTCTTTGGGCTTGGAGGATTGTCTCCTTCAGGAACGACCACTCTTCTTGGACTCCCAACTCCCCATCCCTCCGGGACCTCAGTGCCTCCACAACTAGTCTCCTTAGCTCAATGAAATCTGCCCTCCTGAAGTCCAGGGCTGCTGTCTTGCTGCAGGCCTTTGCCACCCTGCACTGGATGGTGAATTCCAATCGGCGATGGTTGCTATCGCCCAGGTGATTGAGCACCCGCAGCCCCCTCACCAGGTCGTCGTTTGTGGGCAGGACCAGGTCTAACAAAGCATTTCCCCTGGTGGGACTGTGCACCTCCTGGGTTAGATGGAGGTCCTGTAACTTGGCTAGGAACCTACGTGAGCGGTCAGACCTGGCTGACTGCTCTTCCCAGCAAATGTCTGGATAGTTTAGGTCACCCATGATGACCACATCCTTTGACTTAATTGCCTCTGTGAGCTGACCTGAAAATTCCTGGTCTTCAACATAGAGCGCTGCACCCCCACCTTTCCTCCCTGTCCTATCCCTCCTGTACAGCCTATAGCCCTTAATGTTGTGTAGACAGGCCTCCATTTTTCAATTGTGAATGGGTTTCAGGGGAATTGTTAATAGATTCTGCTCCTTCACAGTCACTGAAATGTGCACTTGATTTGAGCAGGTCTAGCCCATGCATCTCAGCTCTTCCACATGCCATCTTATGGAGTGGGAGACAGGAGACCTAGGTTCCAGATTTCTCTCTCACACAGACTTCCTGTGTGTCCTTATGCAATTTACTCAGTCTCTCTGTGCTTCAGGTCCTTAATACCCAGACAATACCCAGACCCAGTTGTCCAATTGTCCAATACCCAGACAAACACAATTCCAATCTGATCGGTGCCTAAGCTTCTGTGCTTGATGTATCTATCTTCAGGGTTACCTCTTTTGCCACCTGGTTTAGGTACTACTCAAGGCTTGCCGGTTTGGGCTTTACTCCTCTTAATGGCTTACTTGCATTTGTCTGGGATGAAAGACAGCTGTCACACTCATCAGATTCAACAAAGTGTGTAACCAGATGAGGTTTAACAATGCAAGTTAGGATACTGGTCCTGTGGCATGGGCACCAGCTTAGGACAGGTGACAAGCCTGAGTTCAAGTCCATGACTTTGGATAAGTTATATGAGGCCAGGTTTTTAAAGAGATTGATGTGCTAAAGAGGCAGATAGGACCCTAGCTGGATTTCAGAAAACAGTTAGGTGTTTATCTGCATCCTTAACACAGAAGGCAGTCTGTGCCCGAGCTTCCCATCTGTAAAATGGGATTAATAGCACTCCTCAAAACAATGTAGAAAAGAAGTCTGGTATCATGGTGATAGCGGGGCATACATATCCACAGCATGTAACGGAGTGTAATAAGACCCTTGGAAGTAATATTCTCAACTCAGTGAAGCTCTAAATTGGAGATCACAGGACTGGAAGGGATCCTCATGAGGTCATCTAGCACAGCCCCTGTTCAAGTTAAGACCATCCCTGACTGAAGCATCTAGTGAAATATCCATGGATGGAGATCCCACAACTTTTCTGGGTAGCCTGTTCCAGTGTTTAACTGT